CTCCATTGAAAGCTGGCAAAATTCCTTGAAAGAAACTAACCATAGACTATCAAACTTAAAGACATGTTTGCAATATGTAATCATGAAAGGAAAAACCTCTTATAACTAACAAGAAACAGGCAGTAACAGCACAAAGTCTAGAAGAGCACAAGAGGATCTATAATTTAAGAACAAAAAATATGAATGAAGAAGCAGGGGTAAACACAAAGGAAATACAAACGTTATTCATAGAAATAATTAAGGAAAACTTCTCAAGCATAGGAAAATGAAATAATATTCAGATGTATGAGGCCAGCTATGCTCAAAACTCCAGCCACCTACAATCAAAACAGAGCTACATCCAGACACATAATAATTATGATCACAGAAATTCTGTTTAGAATAAGAACAGAATATTAAAATCCATCAGAAAAAAGAAACAGATGACCTATAAAGGGAAAGTCATCAAAATCATGGCAGACTTCTTGACACAGACCATTAAATCAAGAAGAGCTTGGAGTGAAGTATTTCAAGCCCTGAAAGAAAATCACCTCCAGCCCAGATTGATGTGCTCCACAGAACTGTCTCTAGAAATTTATGGAGAGACAAGAGGCTTCAAAGACAAAGAGGAACTGGGGGAATTTATGACCACCAATCCAATTCTATGAGAATACCAATGGACATACTAGAGAGAGAATAAAATACCAGAATTTCAGGAACAGTGGAAGAAAGGCCTCAATCAGTGGAGCAGAAGGAGAAAAGCAGACAATAAATGGCAGAAAAATAGCACAACAGAAACGAGGCAGAGAAGGTTGGCTATAATCTCTAATATAGATGGTTTTGATACACTAAAAAATGAAAAGGAAACAAAAGGAACACAGGCAGAGTAGATCAGGAGGGAGGGGCCACTGATAAGCTCCATACAGGAAATATAATTAAGCTGAAAAAGGATTTATAGACCAAATCTCAAATATGAGAAATCAATATTGTATGTGACAGGGAACCAGAGAGTAACAGGGGCAACTCAACCAGCACCTGGAGATGGGTTGGAAGGATAGGTTTTGTAGGTAAAGAATACCACTTGAGATCAAATCCAGGAGGGAAGAGGTTTGGAATCACTTAGGTGAATATCAGGTTGCCCCCTCAATCTTAAAACTGAGGAGTTGATGGGACCCAAAAGTGCAGAGTGCACCCTATGGGAGTGAAAGGGGAGGAATAATTTTAAAAAAGAAGGCAGAAGATATTGTTAATAATGTATCAGGATCTAAAACCCACATTACTTACACTGCTCTGTTTTGATAGATTATATTCTGTCCCGGTTTGTCTACTTATACTAGATGTCTGGGCACAGAAAGTTCTCCCCAGAAGCAAGATATACTATGGTAATCATCCTTAATTCACTATTAACTTAATCTGAAGCCTGTATAACTTATACTGTTTTACCATGACTGATCTTATTTGAATCTGGTTTGTATGATTGCTTTTTGGGGGCTGGAGATTTAGCTCATGGCATAAGCACCTGCCTTGCAAGTGTGTGGTCATGAGTTTGATCCCCGGTACTGATAAAAAAGAAAAAGACAAAAAAAAGATTGCTGTTTGGTATCAATGGATTTTATTCAAAGCTGTTATGATTGATAGCATCAAGTCTGAGAGTATAGGCAACTACACTGAAGATGACAAGATTCACTACAGTACCCCTTCTGTCTGATATTACCTGCTTTTGAAGTTTTACACTATCTACAAATTTTGTTTTTATTAATATTGTTATGTACTGCTATATTCAATTATACTATGCCTGATGACATGTACAATTCTATTGAAGATAACAAGAGACGACACAGTAACCACTGTAGAACATCTTGTATTATGGTTTTATATGACTTTTTTGTTTCATGTGTTTATAGTAATATGTTTTGTTTCGTATTCCTTTGTTTTGTTTCTCTCTCTAACATAGAAAGGATAGAAATACATGTAGAGACTCAGGCACGCATAAACCTATAAACAGTTTATGAGAACGCATCTTATAATCCATGATGAAATGAACAACTACTTTAAAGAAAAAGAGACATTACAGTACCCAGTGTTGATCCCATAGTGTAATGATGTGAAATCCAGCAACACTATTATTTCTTGTTCAGAGTGATTTTAGCCTGCTTTGGTTTGTTTAATCCTAACATACATGAAGACATGGATAACTGCATGTATGTTTAAGTGCATAGGATTGTTAACCATATTACTAAGTTTTTGTTGGATAGTCGAACAGAACTATGTGCAGTCTCGCTGTTTGAATGTCCAGTTTGTATGCTTCACTTTTGTAACTCGAACAACTATTTGTAAGAGGACAATATGTAATTATCAACTGGTGACTTCTTATTGTTTATTTCTTCTTTGAAATTATGTGTCATTTCTACCTTTTTTCTGTTTTGTTTATTCTTTCTGTACATTTTAAGAAAGAAAATGATCATGATGCAATGTGCATAGTTACCAATTCTCTAATGATAGATGTACTTACAATTTACCACAAATCTATACAAATAAAAAATTGAGAAAAAACTTGAGGGAGATGATGGGTACAGAGAGTTGATAAAAGCATTTCCGGAGAAGATATTTCTGGTAAGGAGACATTTAAAAATATTGAGAGATAAAAAGCAGCAACAGTAAAATGCCTTTTAAGAAGAGTTGCCGCATGCTGTATGTATTCATAAGTGTAAAACACAAGTAGAAAGAAAAAATTTCATGCATATTTATATATACAAACTACATAGATAATTATACTACTAATCTCTGTTAATTCATGAAAAAGAACAATTTGTGCTTTCATTGTTTGATCATTTTTTTTCATGTGTATATCTTGTAATGTGAACAGCTACTTTGAGGATAACAATAAGCAGACTATTAACCATTGTTAATCACTTATTATTTTGAAATTCTACATCATCATTTTAATTCTTTTTCTGTTTTAAGATAAAAATGAAAATGCAAGTAAGAGTTATCTTGCAGAAACTTTCTCATCTTAGCCTGTGCAATTTGGGCAAATAATACTTAGGAGATGGGACCAAGATGGGGATCAGGAGCAGTCAACTGCATTAGGACATCTCGAGTGAATGATCTTCTTCATTTACATTCAAAATACACCTGCCTCTGAATGCATACCCTTGTTTGTGCATTATTTCTGTGTCTTCCGCAAGTTGGCCTATCACTGTTACAGGGCAGTCCAGTACAATTCTCCAGGACATACGAGAAGTAGAGCAGCACATTGTGGAGAGCAAAGGTAGAGGCCAAGGCTGTGTTCGCCAGAGATAGGGGATGATATGGAATTGGCTTTGGTAAGTAGCGTCAATTGTTAGATATTACTCCCTGAAAACATATGATGCTAAGTTCTAAGTAATTGTAAAAATGGCCATGATATTCTGTAGAACCATCCAAGCTCTGTGTCTATGTGGTCTCTGGGGTGTCTCAGGTTCTTCTCAGGAGGGGCTGCAGTGGTTCAGGGACACAAGTGGTGTACTGGATTTCAGCATGTGGTGGCACATAGGCCAGAGGGCAGGAAGGGAGGAGGGTGTATGGGTCAGACCTGGAGGTACTGTTTGTCGTTTCCACATCATTCCACTCAGCTTAACTCAGCAACATGGCCACAGCACTGGGAAACCATGGTCACTGTGTGGGTTTAGGGGAAAAATGGAAAGTGGAAAGGAAAGAGTATTTCACTGTTTTCTATTTCTGTCCTCCAGCTCTAAACAACATAACATTTTGAATACAGTTTACATATGTAAGCAAACACTTGATTTCATTCCTTTTGAGGTTCCCTTCAGAAGAACTAGAAAACACGCATTTTACTCTTCCTGCATGGGTCCTAAGCCAATCTTTATCAGGTCCTGGCCTAGATTTCTGATCTCCCAAACGATTGTATGGCAGAGGCTTAAATAAAATGTCACAAGTGATATGATTTTAGGGCTCCAGGAGGATCAAAACCATTTAGTTGAGCTCGAGAGTCCGAGGGCTAAGACAAAGACTTGTCTGGATCAGCCCACTTTTGTTAGGACTGACAACAAAGGGTGGGGAAACTGAGGAAAGCGTGGGAAATGAACAGGACCTTGGGAGTCATTTCAAAGACTTCTCCAAGTAGTAAATTATGCCAATTTAGGAGAACCATCTTATCTTTAAGATGACATTTATGGTAGGATTGTGACTGCAGGAGTGAAATTCCTTCAGCTGTAGTCTCATTTACTTAATTAGTGTTGGAGCCAAAGTGTCTTCGACTGTGGTCTTTCCTTGCCCTTTGAGGTATCTCTGGCCTCACAGGCCACTATAGCCCTCATCTAAACCAGTGATTCATAGAGGTCCACTTACGGTGAATCAGCTCCCATCACCAGGCAAGGGGCGAAGGCCTAGGACAGACTCACAGATAAACATAGAGCCAATAAGTAAAATTTAAATCGTGCTCAAAGCCATTTTGTAGTGGTGTCCAACAATTCTTAAACTTTTAAAAAGAAGGATGTGATTCAGACATCACCCCAAACCCCGTGAGATGCATTTCCTGCTGAAATCCATCTCCATGCTGTGGGATGGGGCTAATCTGATGTGTTTCTCCATACACATGGGTTCCTGTCTCTCTCCAAACTCAAGTGGTCCTGTGTCCTTTTATGTAATACTCTAGATAGTGTTCACGGACTGGAGGAGGAGAACGTTCTCCATCTGTTGACCATCCTCCTCTTCCATAAACTGGAAGCCATAGGGGCAGGCCTCAGGGAGCACATAAACACAGTGGCAGGTGCCAGGCTCCGAGCACAGCCTGACCTCAAAACTCTGAGCTAGAGGACCTCAGGGAGGTTCACGAGAAGATGCCAAAGCACTTGTCTAGAGAGAGGATCTGTGCTGGGGACAGAAAGGGACAGTAAATGTGCTTTTGAGGCTCCTCAACAGCACACCCTGCAGTTTTTTAATGAAGAAGAATTTCTTTAATGATCTCATGTGCAGAAGTCTTTCAAAGTCTCCAGTGTTGTGGCAGAACAAACAGGAGCTTTAGTGTTGCAGATAGTTTATTGAAATGAAAATGTACTTAAGGTTTCAACAATTGTCTTGCAGCTTATAGGTAGAAGGAGAAAGGCAGGAAGGAAGGTTAGGCTCTGTAGCTTCGGCATCTCAGTTCTTTTCATGCTCTGTAGTCTCGGGAGACAAGAGTCTTATTTATAGAGCTTACAGAAAATGCTGTTATATATTATGTTCTGTAAAACAAAAAGAGGGACATCATGAAGACTTTTAGCTCTGTCTTGTAAATTCAAATATTGACAATCAAGTACTTTTCCTCTTGTGATTTTTCTGTGGTTGTGATGACTGTGTAGCATCCTAAAAAGCTCTGGAAACAGAACAGGTTATCTCCTCACATGTCCCATCATCAGGTGATATTTATTGATACCAAAGAAGGCCTCTAGCTCCTTTCTCCAAAATGAACCCTTTCAATAATTTTTTTCCAAAGCTTCGGGGTCTTCTAAAGAGTTTACATTGAAATATGCCCTAGGTATAAGTTGTGAAAGAACTGCCACAGTAAACTACAGCAATATCAGCTTTTCAGCTGAGCACTGTTAAACTCTCTCCTCAAAGAAGGATGTGACCTCACTCAGTTACCTTATTGCCTTAAATGTTTAATGGCTGAAGGAAAACCAAAGACCTACACCTCTGCCTCTGTGGCCTGCAAAACACTGGTGCTCCACACTATGGATGGTAACTCTAACCTGGGTTGAAATAAGGATAATCACATTATCTTGGAGTGCAGGTGGTGTGCAGTTAAGTCTTATGCTGTTTGACATTTTCCCAAGCTTTCTACAACAAAACGAATTAACAAAAATATTGTAAGATTCTGAACTAAAATCTTACATAAATTGAAATTAGGATTTGTGTCATGCTTTCTTTTAAATGATCCATCAACCACTGTCCGTGTTCACTATCATAATGCACACTTGGCGTTTGACAAACATTTGATGTGGAATAAAAAGATCTAAGGATTTCAAACTTTTCTGCTAAACAGCTTTCAAACAGCTAAAATATGTGTGCGATTAGACAGACAACTTGAAAATCTTTAAAGTAGGTACAAACAATCTTACCAGAATGAGGTTTTTATGGATTCTACCAAACTGTCCTGTTTTTAGCATGTATTTTGTTTCAGGTGAAGCCTTCTTGATTTTTCTGATTGTGCCTAAAGATGATGACTGCTTTTGTTTTTCTTGCAGATGGGGTCTCAGTATGTAGTTCACGTTGGCCTTGAATTCACCATGTACCCCAGGCTGTCCTCAAATACACTGATTTTTCTGCCTCTGTCTCCTGCATGCTGGGATTACAAGTGTGTGCCAGCACACCCTGCTGAGGGATACTTGAGAATCACAATTTTACCCTTCATTGAAAATTTGTGTTTGCATGCGTGCCTGTCTGTGTCAGTGTAAATGTCCTGAAGAACTGAGGGTACCTAAGTCATTTCTTGAGAATTCTTTTCTTTCTTTTGGCTTTTTCACTTGTACTTTAATGATGATTCTAATAGTAAAGTAGAAATGAAAAGCTGATGAAGGAAAAGTCACCACACACCTTTTCCATCATGTGCTTTAGAAATGGAATGTGCCTCAGGTGCTTTGTCAGCATTGGCAAGAGACAGAGAGACTACTCTTTCCAGGTCAAGGACTTAAGAGGTATGAAAGAGGAAGGGAAAATTACCATCAGCTGCTGAACATTGGCCAGTGTTTCATCTGACTGGCTGAGAAAACATTGCTTGAGTTGCTCTGCAGCCTGTTCACTGGGCTTATCATCTAGGTAAGGTTGAAGAAATTCCTTGTACTGAGACACAGTCACATTACGTTCGATGGTTTTTGTGATTACATCCTCAAGAAGCTGGCAGCCAGAACCTGGGGAAGAAACAGAAGAACTGTGCCCCACTGCCATTGTTGAAACCATCATGTAGGAAGTTGAAAAAGCATGGAACTACTGGGTCTAGAATAGTGTTCACTCACCCTTTGAGTTCTAAACTACCTGATACCCAGAGCAGTGAGAAACAGAATTTCTTGTAATGGAGGGGACAGTGGGTGGCCAGTCTGTGCAGAGGAAGTGTTGGCTTGCTCACAGCAGCTGGTTACACATGGCTCTGCAATTTTGTCTCAGGTTGTTGAACACAATGCCTTTTGAACCACCCTCAGGAGCAGAAGGCTGAGGCAGCTTATGAAATGTGCAGAGCATATGACAGCATCGATGTCCACCATGTTGCTTTTGCCAGAGCTTGTTTCCCCTTCATGGCTGCAGGGGACTCCTGAGAATGAGTCCCCCTGCCAGTCAGCACTGATCACAAAGGTAGTGGGAGCCAAAGGGCCATCAGGGAGGTCCAGATCAGCCCCATCTGTTTGTTGTGTGGCCCTCAATATGTTTCCTGCTGGGTCATTTGTTGGAGTCTGGGCTTTCTCTCTTGAAGCTTTTCCATTTCCTTTCCATTTGTGGAGATTCATTAGTACTTCAAGGGAAACTTGTTTGTGTCAAATGCAAGGTAATCATTTGTTTCTACATTTGTCCCATTGGAACATCTGATTCTAGTATCAAATCTCAAAACCCACCCTGGTTCATGATAGCTGTGAACGTGCCGGCACACCTAAGTGCCAATGACACTCTGTGTGCCTCTCCAGTGTGGCTAGAAAGATTCCAAAGAGCACTCCTGATTGCCTGAAATTAATGTCCTGTGCTGAAGCTCGAGGACCAGAACTTCCACTCCAATGACACAGGCACCACCCTTGGTGAAAGACTGTATTCCCTGCATGGAACTCACCTGCATAGCAGCAAAAGGGCAGGGCAGCCAGCAGGAAGAGCAACACCAGCTTCATCTTGGGGCTGCTGTAGAATGTTCTGTCGTGTGTGACACAGGGGAGGGAATTCACTTGCAGGTGAGCACTCTGAACTCTGCTATTTATTACTCAGGTAGCAGCCTTAGTTCCTCCCAGGAGTGAGTGGACAATTGCAGCAGCTCCCTGGCAGTGAACCAGGAAACTTTGCCGGTGCCAAGGGGAAGCAGCAGCCTCTGGTCTATTTGCACAGAGTAGCAAGCTTGGAACTTAGACAATCCAGAGGTGACCATGATGGGAGTGCTTTAGGTAAGCTGGATGAGAAAGGCATTTTTAAATTACAATCCAACATTCCAGGTGAGATTTGCTGCCATGTCTGTCATGATGATTTGTGGCCTTGTTCTATTTTCCCTCCTTTCTTCCTATTCTGTCATCTCCTCATTTTCACACCCTCACCTCCATCTGCTTTCTTTTTTCCTTCTTCTGTAACGTGACAGCGGCTTCATGTCCTTGGGCCCTCCCTTAATCAAACACCTAAAGTACAGAGTTCCAACTTGACTTTTACTAGCATAAAGTTGTTCAGTGGAACAGGAATTGATAACAACGGTGTAGTTCTTACTGAACTACAAAGCACTTGTCGTGGGGTCAGGACCCAGAGGTTCCTGTGATCCTGTGCTGTTGAGTTCAGACTGATGCTTGTCTTTACTGGAAATTGATATTTTCAAGAGCTCTTATTTCAAAGTAAGTATAGAACTGAAGTATGTGATGATCAGTGCATTGTTAAAAGCATAGATATCCTGGTGCTACAATCAGTCATGCGACTTGTTATGAAGCAGTATCTCTAGGATAATGACACTAAGACCAGAGGTCCAGCAGATGTGTCCTTGAAGATCAAGATCAGGGAGAATCTAAAAAGTGGAAGCCACTCTTGTAGCTTCTCCATGACTTTGTGATGGCAACCTTGTAGGTGGGCTGCTGTGAAATATACTGTGCAAGGTGGGGTCGCTTTAGAGCAAAGACAGCACTAATTGGTTTACAGGAGCAATGGTAAACCTGGACTGTCCTGAGCACTGGGTAAGTGTCACCACCCTTTTGATAAGGGACTCATTTCTCAAGTGGGGAACACTCAGGGAGGGATAATAAACCCTCCTTAGGCAGAGCTAGCTATCAGCACAACCGTGATATGAACACCGGAGTTCCTGCTCTGGAGATCGCCTTCAACACTATTAAGCTCCTCACTGTGACTCTCAGGGCTGTCTACAGTGTGACTCCATGGATCCCTGTGGTCTCAAGGGCACTGCTGCCAAATGTCACCTCCCAGTGTGCTTTCTGTGCAGGGCCTGCAGTTTTGTCTCAAGGCCTGTGCTCCCTGAAGACTCACATCCTCCTGCCTCAGTTACTCCAGGTTGAAAGTTCTCACTTATTGTTTGATCTTTCCTAAGGCCAGCACACTGCTCAGTGCCTTTAAAGTCCCCCCAAATGGCCGTGCAGCCCCTCTCTCACAGGATCTCTCTGTGAGCAACTCTCTGCATACCCCAAGATTCTGATTACTCTTCTAGATTCTCCCTGATCTTGATCTTCAAGGACACAGCTGCTTGACTTCTGGTCTTAGTGTCATTATCCTAGAGATACTGCTTCATAACAAGTCGCATGACTGATTGTAGCACCAGGATATCTATGCTTTTAACAATGCACTGGTCATCACATACTTCAGTTCTATACTTACTTTGAAATAAGAGCTCTTGAAAATATGAATTTCCAGTAAAGACAAGCATCAGTCTGAACTCAACAGCACAGGATCACATGAACTTCTGGGTCCTGACCCCATCACAAGTGCTTTGCTGGGTGAGGATTCAGAGGTCAGGAAGGGTGGAGACAGCAGAGGAGAAGTGGTGCTCATGAACATGTCACTTGTGTGACCTACCCTAGATGTGTCTAAAGCCCTGGGACCAGGAGCCAGATGTGGAAGCAGAGCCAAAGTCAGGTGTCACCCGTGGAGTGGTTCTCCCGGGTTTCTTCCCTCAGCTCCCATACTTTACACAATTGCTCATCACTGGGTGTATATGATTGAGCCATTCATCCTTTGCCAATGTGATGGGTAATTAGGCCCCTGAGTTTTCCACATCCACATCCCCAGTGGTCTAGAGGCTGGTGCCCTGTGCAAGTCCCATAGTTTTCTGCTCCTGTTGTCACCACAGGTGTGATCTTCATGAGACAGGGGTGTTGGCAGCGGGTTGGGGAAAATTTCTATAAGAAATTTCTGTACCAAATAAGCATTCTCATAGGAGAGTAGTTTTATCTCTCCCTTTACCAACAAGGCAGTGATTTTGGACCTAGGAATTTGTAGGGTGTAGTAATGACAGAGCCTTCTGCTTCAATGGATCTTTTGGTGATTTAACATTATAAAATAGCTGTGCCTGCGTGAGCTTGTGATGTTACTGCTCTTTATCATTACTGCACTGTGATTTTATTCCTCTTTTTATTTTTCCCTTACTCTTGTAGTTCTTTCCCTTCTCCTACTGGGGACTGCAAATGACTAGTTCACTTGTGCGTCTATGCTGGTATAACAAGGTAGCTGAGTGTGGTTCAATTGTCTCAGCAAGCTCTAGGGGAAAGATGCCCCTCACCCATGGATACCTTTGTATTGGGACTTGTGGAGAACTATTTGCTATTTAATTCCCACTCAATTTAAGTACCTAAGCTTCACAACATCTGTTAGAAATAAGATTTGGCCTGAGGCGTGAGCCCACAATTTGGTGGCCAGCCCGGGCAACAGACAGCCCTTGTCTCCAAACATTTCTAATAATTTGAACAACTCTCCCATTTTTATTGGTTTCACTGAGGTTTTTTGTTTTTAAACTCATTGAATTTCCAACATATGGGTTGGAAAAATAAAGTAGATAACTCTTATATTTTACTTAAAATTCATATGAATGTATAACATATCAAATGTGTCTTGTCAAAATAATTTTTAATCCTTAGAGTACTTGGTGTTAAGGAACTCAAAAATAGTGATGTTTGTACACTGATTTTTCAAAATGAGTTATAAGAATCTGACAATAGAGAGGGACACTGGAGCAATGCTTAGAACAAGTGGTAGTTTTCAAAATCAACCAAAGCAAGGATCACGCACTCATGAGACCAAGAGGAGGAAAAGGCAAGGTTGAGTGATACAAACCCAAGCCAATTTCCTTAGGGATTACACGAAACAAGTAGAAAGATAATCAAACATTGCATCAGGCATACTTAAACAAGCAAATGAGTGTGCCAGAGAGACAAGCCCATCCTTAATGACACAGAAACACATTATTTGCACTGTGGATTATTTGTAACAGCTTTCCTTCCATCATTCGGCAGGAACGTAAGAGGCCAAAACATAACTGCTGTAAGTGAGAACAGAAAGGATATGCTTTCACGTGTACTTTCAGCCACTGGGTAAGGCCAAAGTCTTACTCCACAGTCAACTGAAAGAGTGACATGGAGGTGGACAGTGTCTTGTAGCCCAGAACATGGTGGGGCTGTACCTGGTGCCTCAGTCCTCATGGACTTGCCCTGGCTTTGGCTGGACCAGTGGGTCACTCAGATGTTTCCCATTTGTCTTGAGACATCACACTTCTGTTACATGGGGCCACAACGAAGAGGGCTATTTGTCTTCTCCATCTGGTGGTGATTATTTTGGTCTGCTTTGCTATCACTGAGACACAAAACTCAGCACTCCTTTTTAACTCATTTATCATTTAGAAGAAAAAGTGCAACTGCCTGCCAGACTTATTTAATTTAACAAAAACTTACAAAGTTGATCTAATCTATGAATGCTAACTGTTTTTGACCTGCTCTCAGGCTTTTGGAAGACCTTAGTTATGGACACAAGAAAGTTCTGTTCTTTAAAAGGTCTTCACTTATCTATTACAGAAACATAACATATTTGTGAGCCATTTTTCTCAGGGGTTTGAGTATTTCTACAAAAACTCTACAGCAAGAACTAATGGAATTAGTAGCCCAATCATCTTACCTCCCTTAAGTGTCTTCCTATAAATTTCTAACTTTTTGTCCCTTCCTTTTCTTCTCCTTTTCCCTGGGTTATTTTTCCCCTTTGACAATGTTTCACAATATTGTTGAGGATTTTGTATTTTATTTACCCTTACAGTTCCTTATCCTAGGGAGACAATACTGTATTTACAGTGAGTTTTATTTATTTCACTTATGAGTATTGTCTCAAGTCACATTCATTTATCTATGCCTTAATATGATCCTTCTTTCTAGTTAAAAGTACTTTGTTGTATAAAAATACCACACCTTTTGTATCCATTCCTCAGTTGATGGAAATTTATGTTGTTTCCGAGACTTGGCTATTACCAATGGTGCTACTACAAACATTGGTGAAAATATGTCACTGCAGTATGTTTTCAGTTCTTCTGGGAATATGCTCAAAAGTGGAATAGCTGGGTCAAACAGGACTTCCCAACCCAGCTTTTTGAGGACCCTCCAGACTGATTTCCACAGTGGTTTTACCAGTATCCACTCCCACCAACAGTGAAGAACAGTATATACACACTGAAGATAGCTAAGATAATTGTGCTACTTTATTAGCTCTTGGAACAAAACAGTTAACATACATAGGATTGGATTAATTTTGCATGTTTATATCTGGCAATATGAGGTAATTTTGATGATTACTATGGCAAATAATAATCTTAATTGTGTTCCTATCACCTTGTTTTGAAAGCCTGTATTGTCATTGTTTTGGGTTGTTATTGTTATTTATTTTTCCTTTTTGTTTCTTGCTTTTCCTAGCAATTTGTTTTGTTTTGTTTTTCCCTCCAATACCAAATGGATTTATGTACATATAGAAGCTTATATTCACCTAGATCTTCTCCTAAAGAATTTATGATTGTACTATGCGTGATGATCTGAGCAGTTTGAAGAAAATGAGACATTATGGGGTAGCCACTGCTGATTTCCTATCAGCATGTTGTGAAGTCCAGGAATGCTCTTATTTTTTGGTTAGATTGGTTTTAGTTTGCTTTTTATTATTTAATTCCAATATCTATGTGAAGATATGGACAGCTATTTTGAAGAGAACAGGAGACGTTATGGTGGCCATTGTTGAATTTCCTAATGTCTGGTTTTGAAGGCTTGTAAA